TTGTTTAACCGGCTTCGAACGAAGCAAACTGACACTAGATAGGAAAACAAAGATTCTCAAATGGGCAAGGTATTTCAGTCCTAACTGTACAGAATCTACAAGACATCAAAGGAACACTGATTGACGAGATTTCAAAAATAGAATAGAAAAAATTGGAATCATTTTTATAAAGATAGGTTAAATGATTTATAGTACCGTCAACGAAAAGCAATTCAGGAATTCCAAAATGCACATGTCTAGATTGGGATCTACTTTATCTAACATATATAGTAGCCTGATTTCAGAGGCTTCGCTTCAACGAAGTAATTCTGAGCAGATCAATCTCTTAGCTACTCATAACCTTACTCAAAATTAATTTATCTAAGTCCCGACTACCAGAGTGATATAATAATAAATTTTACCGAAATAAAGGAGATCGCAATTCAGATAAAACAGTATTGCAATAGACGTTTTTAAAAATCCTTTTCCTACGTATCTTTTTCGAATGTTCCAAACTGTCGTGTTGTGGTTTGATTTGTATGGAAAATTGTTAAATAAATATTGTTTTATTTTATTTTTTATTTTGTTTATGCCTGCCCTTGTGTTGGTGGGCCTTCAATGACTTCATAGTATCCGCCCTGCTTAAATAAAATAAGTATATCACCATTTTATATTGTGAGATACAAATTCGGTACTTATGTATATATATATCATAAACTGGTTTCCAGTTTGGCGCACTGTGACTCACACACACTACCACCACATTGAATATTCTATGCATACAACTCTCAACTAACATCCATCCATCCATCTTGCATCCATAATATACGGTAGAAGACTAGAAGCACAAACGTAAAATGGTTGTCATTCGATTTAAGTAAAAGAACATTATATGTCTGGGCTATTGTATACTAATTGTAAATGTGACTCCACTTCCCTAATTTTAGAAAATGCTTTGACTATTGCTATCGAGTCCTAAGATTACAACTATTTTATCTGATATAAAGAACAATTACATTGATAGCAATTGTTCTTATCAACGGAAAAACTAGGCTTCAGGCACTAAAGATAATCAGATATAGAAACTAGTCATTGAGATGATACTGATATCCACTCACAGAACGTCCCTAAGCCGACTTTTTGTTTTAATCAATCAATCCAAGGACTTAAAACTTTTATTTTTCAAGCCCCACTTTAAGTTTTTCTTTAGTACGTTCAAGATTCTATTTAGTTTGCTGAGACTAGAGTTGTAGTCGAAAATCTAGTCTTCGAAAGCTAATGGGGTCTCTAAAAATGAGGAGTTAACAGCCTATGTGGGTGTCGATCCGCTGAACAAAGTGAACGTCAAAAAATCATCATAATTAGAAAATTTATTACGATAGTGGGAGTAAAACTTATCGAACTATCATATTATAATGGAATAAAGAGTATAGAAGCTCTCAAGACGCTGCTTTTGGCTTTGTTTAACGAGCTTCTCGCAAGCGCGTAGGCGGTCAGATGGTCAGAGTCGTTTTCGTGTGTTTTATAAAGCCGTACATGGTAACGTGGAAGACTCTATTTTTGAATAAATGATGCTACGGAAGCAGGTTTGCACCATTAACATGGAAATTAACCCAGTTTTGAGCTATAAAATACCACCAAATTAAGGATATAAAAACAAGTTCGCAGTAGACTTGAAGCACTCACTGAGACTGGAATTCGTGGTCCCATAGAAGGTAGCGCTTTGTGATATATTCGGGTAAGGATTCTTTCACGTCATTATCATTTTTGAGTGGCTTAAAATAATAATTCAAAAGTGTCTCCAAAAACTACTCGCATCTTTTATCTTTCTTTGTGATCTACTGAGTCTTTTTCCTTGGCTGTAAGTCAATGTATTCCTTGGGAAAAGCATACGATAATAGTATAAAATTAATAGAACTCTATACTGAGAAACCTCGTAGGTTTTTAAGATAACTTTTAAGCGAATTTGATTTTGAATGAGTTAATATTCTAAATAATTCTGAAAACTAAACTTATTCTTAAATCTCATCCTACTTCTTTGATTTTGAAAAAGCTGAGACGTAGTCCTAATTCCAGTTCAAATGCCGAGTAATCGTTTCATTATTGGTTGTATAAAATCCGTGTATAACTGAGTAAAGGCCAGTGTCATATTTACACTTAGATACACAAATTTGACTAGTGAGGAATTGATCTAGGGACAGTCAGTGATGCCTAAAAATTTTTTTGATGCCTTAATTTTCAAGTCCTTCTTGGTTTAACAAAGCACTTTAAAACGTTCTAGTGAGGCAACGTGATTTGATTTATGAAGCCTACGCGCAGCAGTGGGTGTCATCGTAGTTAAACGATGATTTAAAAAATCTATCCGTTTGTTTGAATTCATAAATCAGAACTTGCTTAATTTGAAGGATCTAGAAACCATCTATAGTTGCTTGAAATTTTTGATTTCTTATAAAACTTCTTAGTCTCTCTTTAGATAATTCGTATCGAGATCGCGGGTTCTTGATATCGGTGATAATTAAGTTCCGGTTCTGAAGTGATCATTTATAATATCATCCAACACTCATAGTATCAATCGAGTATTTAATTAACTCAACTCTTCATAATTATACAACAAACGATTGCTTCAAACAATAGCCTAAGATTTCCCAACAATGATTTTAATGCTAAAATACCGAATACTTATTAAATATAGCTCTTCTTATTGTTATCAAAATACTTCGGTGATGAAATCAGGACATTTTGGGTATTGTTCGGTCTGGGTTCGTCAGAGGTGTGGGGTCTCAAGGGAACACCTTCGTACGAGCATAAAAGTGACAGAATCTTTCTTGTCTGGGATCGGAAAGTTAAGTAACTCGAGGTACCTAGTTTAGTTGGGGATCGCTACATTCACAGTTGATATTAAAGAACATCACGGAGAACTGTTTTTTCCAGAACCTACTTTTAGAGGTAACGTACTCATCACTGATGAATCATTTGACGTACTTTGATATATTTTGATTTCTAAATTGCTCATTTTCAACAAGCTAATTTTGGCGTTTGTTTAAAAATCAAACACGTTGTAGGCGTAGAACTTGCGCAAATATGTATCACGCAAACGGAACTGAGATAGCCTCGCGTCACACTTGTGAAAAGACCAGTGAAAAAATACCACTTGTTAAGACAAATCTTATACTCTACGTCAGTAAGTTTTTTCATCTTTTCGCGGTGTAAAATTTACCCTTTTATCATTACTGTTTCATTAGAAACACCGACGCAGCTCWCACTAGTTTTTAGYTAGTTATATCTTCTTATACCCTAAGGAAGCGTTAGTTTTTCAAAGATTTCCTCTGTAAAGATATTAGTTCCTGAAAAAAACATCTTTAATTCTGATCTGTTTTTTGTCTTCTGATTGAGCTTATCCTTTTTACACTCAGATAAAGAGGTTTAACCTGGTATTAGACCATTTGGCACTTTTTTCCCAACACTGAACAGAAAACGACTCGAATTTTATCAAGTCATATGAGCAAAATTTTCATGTTTTTTTAAATAATATCTTTGGTTTATTTGCCTTAATTCAATATATATTCGTATAGTTGCAAGCATATTAGTTTGATAAAATTGATAGTATTAGTATAAGAGGCATAAACCAAGCTTTTGCATCTATATGTAGTTTTGAAGCCGGAACTTCAACTAAATTCTTAACGACTCCATAAAACGGAATCGTTGTATCATCCTTGAGTCAGAGGGTAAGGCAAGAATTTTTTGAGAATTGCTAAAGAGGTCTTTCTAAGGTAGATTAAAATTTATTTTCATCGCTTGTCAGAATTTCCAAGGAGTTTAGAAAATTCAATTTTTTGAGCTTCAAAAATGTCTAGCATAAATAAAATGGAATGTTTATGATCTTTTAAGTACTAAAGTTTAAGTATCTTTAGTTTTCCAGTGTATGAGACTTGTGTTTGAAATTTTGCTTTGCTTTTACAAGACAACTTTTGATTAGAACCTAAAAAATGCGTTAAAAAAACACACGAGTATACTTCGTAAAGCCTCTTTTACTCAGACGAACCACTAATGTCCAAAAAGGTGTTTTCACTTGCAAAGACATGTTTGGGTGCCCTCTACCGACAACACATCTCTCTTAAAATTTCTTATATTTTGATTTTGTATTTATCGTATAATTAATGCTGATAATACAAGCATAAGAAGCTAAACGTTCTTCATGACGAGGCAACAAGTTCAAGCAAGTATGGATGCGGTTTTCGATGCAAGTAAACTAAAACAAGAGAAAAATGAGTCGGACTTCGTTTACCGGCAAGCGGTAGCGCAGCAAAGAAGGACCCTAATTATGAACCATCTCAATGAAATTACAGAAAACGCATTTGGTTTTTGAAAGAGAAGCTGCCAAAAGGCACCGACTATTTGCCGTAAACAAAGGCACTTACCGAAGTGCAATATTAAGTGTTAGACAAATTGAATCGGCTTAATCGTTTGTCTATTGATGCCTCGAGTGAGGCTGCTTCTGAAAGACGATTAAAAATTATGTTAGGCTCCTTGAAAAAGCATAAAAAGCTCTCGGAATACAACTTTGCTCTAACACACATAGATTACATAATCTTAGTGCTGCTTGCCTCCACATTTTAGCTTACAATTTTCATGACCAGCAATTTCTGGAATTGTAATTCCTTTGTTTAGTGTTTGAGTCCTGTTGTTGAGTGACACAATTACTCGATTAAACTGAGATGCGGTCGGTATATCTTGACACTGATTCACCTGATTCACGATATCTCAACTCTGAAAACCCCATTAAAATCATGTGTTTAACAAATGTTTGACTGCGTTGCACTTGTTAAATTGGAATAGTAACTTTTAGCTTGTTGTGGGATGCGCGCCTTAGGCATTGACATCGTGGAACGCAAGAGTTGGACGTCCAAATTTTAGAACGGCGGTATCGCTTTGTGTTCCATCCGCCGCCTTCAACCCATAGACTTTTAGATTACAACCTTTTGTTTATGAAATACTAATCATTTTAATACGTTTGTACACAGATCATCGTAAATTCAAGAAGTTGGTCGAAGAATAACCGTGTTTTAAGATGTCAAGCGTAGCCTCCCAAGCAGCAATAATACTTTTACTAGAAATGTGTCTTACAACTTATGTCTTCTCAAGTCAGTGGCTGTAAGTATTTTCACAATGGATGTATATATAATCTTGGAATGTTGTAATGTTTGAAATCTGGGCGATGGACTGCTAGAGACCAAGGCGCCACAATAGCAGTATGCAGCTTTCTGTAGTCTACTGACTTCGAGATCTATCTTGATAAGGCATTGCGCTCTGGCGATCTTGAATTGCGCTCTCTACCGTTAAATCATCAAAAAGATAATTGTGTTTCTAAATCATGTTAAATCATAAAACGCGATGTAAAAACTAAGTTGTGTGCAAAATTGGAGCGGATTTAATTCGAAGTCCAACAGCTGCCTTTCTATATAACCTTACAGTACTATGGACATTAAAATCGCCGCAAGATGACACTGAATTTGCTTATGCCAGTAATTTCATTTCTTTCGACATTTGAATATTTGGCTTCAGTTCTTTATTCCTGGATAATTACTTCGCTGAGAGCTGAAACGTCTACCGTGAATCGGTCACGGGCCTCTAACAAATGTTGATAAAAAATCTGAAAACGTTTTCGATTATCGCCAATTTCGGAAAGGTGTCGCAGCCCTGGAGCACCCGCCTTTCACCTCTGGAGTCCGGCTAAGGTTTAATTCCTGGACTTGGCATCACGTGTGAGTAGAGTTTGTTAGAGTCTCTCCCTTGATTCAAAGGTTTGTCTTTGGAATCTTAGGTTTCTCACCTTCCGCAAAGCCAACACACTAAACTATATGGATTAGCCGTTCCCTGACTTAAATCAACCACAATGGGATTGTTTCAGGGTTCGATCTGTGAGTTAGCCGTGCCCTGACTTAGATCAACCTCGAAGTTGTTTTAGGGTTCGATCAGTGAGTTAGCCATGTCCTGACTTTGTAGATCACACCAGAGGTTGTTTCCGAAGATATCGATAAAATTTGAAGGCATTGTTAACTCAATCAATATATTCATAATTGCCTCGAGATATTTATTTATTATCAAATAATTACTTTAACTTTCCTGGAGTCCAATTCGGTAATTACGTAAATTAATAGCTTCCATTTTAACTGTTTTTCGATGGAAAAGGAAACGTATACATAAATAAAAATCAATGAGAATTGAGTGTCGAATGTTGTAAATATAGAATGTAGTGGTAGTGCGTGTGGAGCTAACAACACGGAAGAGCCCCGTACAGGGAGTGGTGGTTTTAATATATATATATTACAACAGATCGGCCCTTATTTATAGTTCGCCCATTGTTTAGAATATCATGTGAATGCGTACTTTTCTTTTTCAAGATTTTTGTGCTACGTTCTCAAAACATCCCTTTCTATTTCTTTTTGTTTCTTTATTTTCTTATTTTTATCGCAAACAACAAAGAACAAACTTAACTTACGAAAGTGTTTTATACTTGCGTCACAGATGATTAAAGATATTTTTCCTTTCCGTCATCACCTGTGGAGTTTGCTTACGTAATTTTACGTGTATAAGTTTAAAACATAAACTTTCATTGATATGTGTGTGCGTACAATGCTTAATTGTCGTTATACGTCATAGCACTGAAGATGGCCAATATCGAACAAAAGCGTATTTTAAATTTGTTTTTCATTTGTTTTTTTTTTTTTTTTTTTTTTTTTTTTTTCTTTTTTTTTTTTCTTTCTTTTTTCTTTCTTTCTTTCTTTCTCCTTTTTTCCTCTTTTTTTTTCTTTCATTTAAACAAACTTTATTCAATAACCACTGAGTAATTTATTTTGATTATTCAAATTTTTCCTTCGTAAAGTCAAGAAAGGAAGAAGAGTAAATGCTTTGATATTTTTCTCTGTTTGGTTTTCGTTCGTGATGAATCAGTGTATGGGCGTACAAAATAGAATATATCATAGGGTCGTAACTAGGGGGAGCACAGAGGTACACGTTAAACCCGCCATAATAGCTTAAGGTCCGCTCATCTATTTCCATTTTGCTTAAAAATTGCAGGTAAATGCTTGTATGTTTTTTATTGGAACCCCCCTTTTTTTTTCTTTATTTTGGTTCTGCAAATCATTGCCTGTGCACCCCCACCCCCAGAACTATAATATCTTGATATTTGTCTCGCTCATATGTAAACTGAATAGACCTCTTCGGCTCTGACGTAATGTTTTCCCATTTCAGACCACGTGTCATTCCCTAGAGTATCATTTCTTTGTTTAATGGTTGCACATGAGAAGACACATGAATATGGATACAGCTCAAACAAAGAATCTTATACTCAAGGGAATGACACGTGGTCTGAAATGGAAAAACATTACCCCAAGCCGAAAAGGTCTATTTTTTGTTTTCCGTCCTGTTCCTTGCTACTACCAAGTTCTAGCTAGCTCAACCCGAACCTTTTAAATCTTAACTAAAATAGCGAGGAAAAAAACTGAAAAAATAACGAGTAAAACTAAAAAATAATTTTTCTCATAGATCGCTCGCCTTGACTGGCTCAAGCCCATCTCGTTTCAAATCAAAGAAAAACTGCGATGAAATTGGTCAACTACTCAATCACAAGCAAGTCCAAGTCTGCAAGAAAAACGTTGATGTGATGGACAGTGTGAAGAATGGAGCCAGCGTAGCTCTTCTTGAATGTCAACATCAGTTTCGATATCGTCCTTGGAACTGCACGACTGTTCAGTTTAGCAAATCTCCTGTTTTTGGAAATTCTGTAAATGGAGGTGGGTGTGGTCAAATTTTTTATACACTTATTTCAATAAAGTTAGTCACAAAGGAACTAGAAAGCTGACATCAATGAGGATCATGGAAAATGTTCGTATATATAACAAGTAAAGTTTTTTTTGATGCCAACTGCAGCTTGAGGATGCTCAATAGAGGTGAGACTGTAACTGGTAAAAGATGTGCAAGTCCATCAACAGTTATCAAGCGGTTGAAACATGTAATATATATCTACCCATAATCCTTGTCGGTCTCACGTTTGTAGCTTTTCAGGTGACTAGCCTTATTGAAATAAGTATATCAAATGCGTGTACGCCAAATATCCGTGAAACAATTGTATTTACCAAAGCTAAGCGGTATTCACGAAGTGTACCATTTGGCACAAACAGCAAAATAGCTGCAATTAGACTTTTTTTTTTTTGTTGCATGGAAAAATGGAAATGCAGTTTTTACTTTCCCGCCAAAGTCTTTTTCCCCAGCGCAGTTTACAAACTACAAATATACAAAGGGAGGTGGCCTTGGTAAAAAAGTAACTCTTAAAACTGAGTCTTTTTGTCTTATTCTTCAGGCACAAGAGAAGCCGCATTTGTTCACGCGATATCATCAGCAGGAGTTGCCTATTCCGTGACACAAGCCTGCAGTGCAGGACGGTTAGGCAAGAAATGCGGCTGTGACAAAAAATACCGTGGACAGTCCTCTCAGGGATGGAAATGGGCTGGCTGCAGCGATGACATTGATTTTGGAATCAATTTTTCTTCGCGTTTTGTGGACGCTCGTGAAAGAGGCAGAGGAATTGGAACGCCAGCGCGCGTAAAGATGAACTTGCATAATAATATGGCAGGGCGTTTGGTAAGTTAAGATTTCTTGTCACTTTTCATTATAATGCTTATTTTGTTGTTTATAATCAACTGAGATCTGACAGGTAGAGCTCTTAACCTTGGGCGTAATGTTTTCCATTTTCAAACCACGTTTCATTCTCTTGAGAATAAGATCCTTTGTTTGAGTTGAGTCTCTATCCATTTATCTTTTCATGCGCAACCGTTAAACAAAGAAATGATACTCTAGGGAATGACACATGGTCTGTAATGGGAAAGCAGTGGATAAGGTCTATTTACGCTACCTGGCTACATTCGATTTTCTTTTCATGCGCAACCATTAAACAAAGAAATTATACTCTAGGGAATGACACATGGTCTGTAATGGGAAAGCAGTGGATAAGGTCTATTTACGCTACCTGGCCATATTCAATTATCTTTTCATGCGCAACCGTTAAACAAAGAAATAATATTCTAGGGAATGACACATGGTCTGTAATGGGAAAGCAGTGGATAAGGTCTATTTATGCTACCTGGCCATATTCAATTATCTTTTCATGCGCAAACGTTAAACAAAGAAATAATATTCTAGGGAATGACACATGGTCTGTAATGGGAAAGCAGTGGATAAGGTCTATTTACGTTACCTGGCTACATTCAATTATCTTTTCATGCGCAACCGTTAAACAAAGAAATAATACTCTAGGGAATGACACATGGTCTGTAATGGGAAAGCAGTGGATAAGGTCTATTTACGTTACCTGGCTATATTCAATTTTCTTTTCATGTGCAACCGTTAAACAAAGAAATAATACTCTAGGGAATGACATATGGTCTGACAGGAAAATATTACGCTCAAACTAAAGAGATTTACAAAAGCCACCTATAAATTGTAGAGCTAACAAAGTGTGAACTTTATTTAAAAAGAACTTGTCAACATGCTTTGCGCTCTCACGCGCGCGCACATTAACATATTTCAAGAAAATAACCTTCCGTTATTCTAATTCGATATTTAGGCTTTCACATAGTTGGAGCCTAGCTTTGTTGTGATTGTCACACGCTGTGATACAACAGTCGAAGCTTAATAGATTTTTCTGTTTATGCGCATGCTCCAAATTTAATAAATTCAATAGCATACAAATACTACTGTTGTTGCGCTTGTTTAACTTTTTTTCTAATCTTTATTCATGTCATTCCATAGGCCATAAAGAAGTTTATGAAGCTGCAATGCAAGTGCCATGGAGTATCAGGCTCCTGCAACATCAAAACTTGCTGGAGAGACTTGCCCGAGTTTACTTTGGTTGGAGACCACATTAAAGAAAAATTTGACGGCGCTACGGAAGTCGAGCTCAAACTTATCGGGGGCAAACATGTACTTCTCCCGCAGGATAATAAGTTTAAGCCCCATACTAAGCTAGACCTCGTCTATTTGGTCCCTTCGCCGAATTTCTGCGATCCAGATACGAGTACAGGTTCGTTAGGGACTCATGGACGCCTGTGCAATAGAACATCTCAGGCCATTGATGGATGTGACCTGATGTGCTGTAGACGCGGATTTATAACGACCACAGAAATAAAAAAAGAACGGTGCAACTGTAAATTTTACTGGTGCTGTAAGGTTAAGTGTCAAGAATGTCGAAAGACTGTTGAAGTCAATTACTGCAAATAGTCACCAGAATCAACAGAAGAGCAGATATTGTAAATAGTTGGACTTCAATAATGCGTACAGCCAATCGGAGATGCATGTCGACTATCCATAGACGTGGATATACTGTATAGCCCAAAGAAAAGTAGGGAATTGTTGGGTTTCAAGCATTCCCAAGAGAGTCAGTTACAAAAGACAAAAATATGGCGGCCATCTTTGTGCGGTTAAAGGGGGACTAGCACGAAAATCTTCCAAAATAAATAAATTAATTCGGCTGAAACTTCAATGGAATAATCTTTAAGGGTTTAATAATCACTGGTTAAAGTTTTTTCTTTATATTCCAATGGGAAGTGTTATATTTTTACGAATTTCTATAGGTGTCTGTGACGTCATACACTCAACACTTAACACTGCTCCATACATTTCTTTGTAAATAACTTCATGTTGTACTTTAATTCTATTAAGCCCAAAGGTTCGCTGAGGGACTTAACGTACATAACTTGTGGTTAAAATCATTTTATGCTATCTTTTCTCCAATACTGAGTATAAAACTAGAAGATATTTTGATTACAAAATACAAAGAAAATGTATGGAGCGATGTTTAGTTTTGAGTGTATGACGTCACATGCTCAATAAAAATTCGCAAAAATATAATACTTCCCATCCAAATATCAGGGGGGAAAAATAACCAGTGATTATTAGACCTGTAAGGGTTAGTCCATTAACGTTTCAGCTGAATTAAAATTCGGACGAATGAGAATGAGAAATCGTTTGTGAAAGGGCACCAGCATGGCTTGATGTAACGTACAATCGAAGAATTGTAATCCAGTAGCCGAAATATCAAAACTCGAATAATCTACGTATTTTAGTTTACTAAGTGTGTAACGTTGACAAACGCTATATATCTCTATTGGACATTGCATTTTTATTTTCCACTCTGAGTGAAAAATTGTTTTCCCAAAGTTATACGAGAAAAATATCTCTATACCTAGCTACTCTGTATGGTTCTAAAATCACCGTATCTCGCTGTAACTTGCCCTTCACTGACAGTGTCAAAATCGGGAATTAATCTTTGATTAACTCGCTTTGAATCGTGCGCGGCGCAAAGCCGAACTGACTCAAATGTTCCATAGCTTATCTTAATTTGCGTTTTTAAAAAGAGAGGGTTCTGTTGAACTCGGCGTTGCCTTGCCTGGCTGCAAAATGGACGTCGTTAGCTTGAACGTAATGTTTTCCCATTTCTTTTTTGTTTGAGTTGTATATCCATATTCATGTGTCTTCTCATGCGCTACCGTTAAACAAAGAAATAATACTCTAGTGAATGACGCGTGGTCTGAAATGGGGAACATTACACCCGAGCTCATTAAAACTATAATATATCCTAAAGTCGTACATTTTCCAGAGCTCATTAGCTTCGTTTTCTTTTCCAAGCGGTGGGACTGAAAGAGCTCGGGTGGAAGATTGGCTTAGAAAGTTTCTTTCAACACTTTTGTCTCCAGATTAAAGACAAACATCTATTCAAAGAAAGTTAAGATGTGCTTCATGACTGCTCGTGCAACAACATCGATAGAACAGCCTAGAGAATTTTAGCAAGCTTCTATGGCGAGAGAAAAATAGTTCAATTGGAAAAATCCTAAGAGGTTTTTTTATCTGTCTATTCATTATGTGAGATATTATTATTTGCATATTTCTGACTATAAAATATGAAAGCATAAATCATTGTTTCGAAAGGAGGAAAAAGATGTAGGATGCATTTTGTTATAGCATCTAGAGCGACAACCGTAGACAATAGATAACGGACGCTATGCATTCTGGTATATCTTGGGTATTACAAGAATCATTTGTACACAAGGTAGACCAGAATGCACCACGTTCGCTATCACCGAAAACGACATACTTGTAGCAGTCGGTCATATGTCATAGTTAGGCATGCAAAAAGGGTATAGACTCTCTGCTGGACTTTATTGCACACACACAAAAACTATAAGCTAGATTGTGCGTTCAAATAGAGCTCTATTGTATTATTTTATTTTGTTACTTTTAAGAAACTCGATATGGTATCGTGCTTGTTTCGAGAGAACCAAAGAGCGATCCTTGAGGGACACCACAAATCCCTGCCACGAAGGCTATTCAGTGTAAAATGGTCGTGTAGTGTAGAAAAAAAGTATGTGTTTTACTAAATGAATTATTTATATTTTTGCTTTTAATTTTGCTTTTTTAGTTTTATTTATTTGTTCATAGTTTTATCGTAGACATTAAAAAAATTAAAGACGACTGAAATATTAAAAATTATAGCGTTGGTAATCGTATGATTTATTCATTTTTTCAAGGAAGTTATCATTAAAGTTCCTTCTTTTGAATCAATACTCTTAGAAATCAATGTGCGAAAGGAATAGACCCTTGCATTGATTTTCTACAGAAATTGTTCTGGGGGACAATACAATAGAGAGCTAGTCTTTTCTTATGGAAAAATAATCCATTGTTTTGTCCCCAGAACAATTCCTCTCAGGCCGTGACTTATAGTGCAAGGGATCTATAGCTGTAGATAAGGTTTTGGGGATGGACCAGTCTCTTTAACTAATGCCGGGCTAGAACCGATTATTCTACATTTCCGCACATTCAGGGCGAACCGGACCACCAATTATATTAATAATATTTAAATATTAATAGTATTTCAATAGTATTCATATTTTAATGTTAATAATATTTAAATATTAATAGTATTCAAATATTAATAATATTTAAAAGTTAATAATATTTAAGTATTAATAATATCAAAAGATTAATAATTAAAATAATACTATCAATTAGATTATCAATTAGATTATTAACTAGATTATTAACTATGAGGGAAAACACAATAGATAGAACTCAGTCACCAGGGAAAAGTCTGTAAAGATACATCCTTTTCCTAACTATTTTAACTCAATCATGTCATGAGGTCAGCCTGGCGTACTGTTTCAAAAAGGTTACCAGTGAATGAGACCACCTCACATTACCCACATTAATAACAACAGATATATTCAACATAACCACTACTGCTAGATATAGTATACCAATGGAATGTTGCCGGGTGCTGGATGGAAAACAACATTTGAACGAATCGCCTCCGGCTCGAGCGTGTAAATATAAATTGGCCACTCGCTCTTAATGCACATATTACAAAAAAATTCATTTCGAGATATTTTGTTTAAAAACTCCGTCTCGGGATTGGAAATTGAGCAATGACTCCCAGCGTGCAGTGTAAAATATATCAATATATTTTATTTCCGAGCTTGCCACGGCATGTAGCCAACCTTGACCTCAGGCTGTTGGTATCGTCTGCCTTGGTTTTGGCTTTTTGCCTCAAGATAAACTAACCAAGGTCAATGTATGCAGTTACATACTATATTGCTGTGTATGGACTTCCGTTTCATTGAGAGGTCACGAACATATAATTAGAACTTCAGAGGATTGTCCTCGTTTTCTATCAGGAACTGAGAAGGCCTTTACAAATAACTTAGTTGGTGAAGCCTCCACTCTGCCGGCCCCCATTACGCAGACTGCCACACTGCCACCCCACTACAAATTGCAGGCTGGTAAATGCTTTATAAATATCAATATATATAGGGTGCAGTACGATACGAGTCTGCAGTGTGTTTTTTAGCTCTTCATGCAGGATATTTGTACTCGCTCCAGGATTTTTCCTGCGAAATTTGTATTCTACTGCCGAGTTCACTTACAACGTATCATCATGTACTAAAGTGTTCAGTACACCCTTCCAACAAAGAAACCGTTTTTATTGTCATGACGTATGGGCATCCATAACAACGCCGTCAGAGAAACCGCAACAGCTCCGATCTATAATGCAGCTTACTCAAGAGTTAACGGACAACAAAAGGATTATCTCAAAATGATCACCTTGAACTGAAATGGGAAATCGTTACGCCCGGGTCTAAAATAAAAGGGTTCAAATGCCTGAATTACATCTAACTTTTTCGTGACTCCATCATATTTAAGGCTTGGTCACTTAGCTACGTCCTCCCCTGTCGGCTTGGTAACCTCACACAGAGATCCACTACGCATGCGCAGACAAGTTTTTTTTGCTTGATTGCATCCCGCCAAGAACGAGTTCTCAAACGTCTTGGTGGATGATATAACAAAAGACATGGCCGCCATGCTGGATGATATAACAAAATACATGGCAGCCATGTTGGAAGATACAACACAAGACATGGCAGCCATGTTGGAAGATATAACAAAAGACATGGCCACCATGTTGGATGAAAAAAAGATCTCAAAGCGTGACGCTTCTAGTGCTCCACGTCAAGAATACCGTAAATTCCCACGGTAGATTATATTATTCAATTTTCTGTTTTGAATGGAGTTAGTACAGATTTAGTGGTAGTTCATTATGAGTACAAAACCGCGTCTTTAACCTGGTGTAGACCATTACCTTGTGGCTGTATGTATTTGTATTCTAGCCGACGACGTTCATCTAAACCGAGGTAACGACGTGTAATGGTGTGTAAAATGGACATATTTTTTTTCTCTATATTTTTTTATCTTTTTGAAACGCAAATGTAGATTAACTTTACTGAATGACATCTACCTCTACAGTGTTCTTTCTACGATTTTATGCAAACGCAACATATGTTTTATATACTCTTTTTAGCGTTATCTTCTTATCTTTTTCAGTAAGAAACAATTAAACCTCAACCATTTGCAGTAACAACAACAATGACAGCAAAACATCAACAACAGTAAAAAGAACAACAACGAGATCAACAACAGCTGTAAGGAAAAAACCAAAAACAACCACACCAACATTGGCAGCAGCAAAACGATCTCAACAACAACTTAACGAATCGTGACGAGAGCAGCAATGACAGTAACAGCAAGCCAATGAACAGAAGCAGAAGTATTAAACAACAACAACAACAACAGTCTGTCAGTTGAGTCAGTACATCCCTATCGTTATTTACTTGGAGTGTTTTTCTCAACTCTGTGTCTGATATAATAAACGTAAAATATAACGTCCTTCAAAAGTCTGCAATTAAATACTATTCTTTCAAGAAAGCTTAGCTCAAATTTAATTAATTACTGCGTCCGATATCTAGATCTCCTGTCTAATGCTGAGGAAGTCGACTAGTCAGATTGATATCTGTCCCTAAGGGCAAATCGTTGCGTTACAAGGATAGGTGGGCTCAGGTCCAAGGATACTTCAACACTTGAGGTTTTCGTGTTATTTTGCTGTACAGTCGTGCTGGTAGAGCAAGTACGCTGTTGATTTTTGACATTCTTTACGTTCCATTCAAACAAAAGACTGATTGAAATCCTCTCAATAAAAACCTATCTAAAGTAAATTGGTATTCCACTACAATCCTCCACTTGACCTTCACAAGGGTTTATTCACCCTAGAGCTGTCAACTGGAGAGTTTCTCTTTTGGCGGGAAATTCTCATCTCCCGCCAAAGTTTTAGATTCCATGATTTTTCTTCAAAGTGTTAAGGCTGATTGCTCCCTGCCAGTAATAAAGACTTTCAATGGATGTGACCTCATTCTGTTGAGCCATTCAGAGGGCGTCTGGATATCAGATGAAGAGCCATTCAAGAGCAGCTGTCATGGCTTTCAAGAGCTGCCAATCACTCGACCTGATCCGGAGCTGAAACGTCATGATGAACGCTCCACTCGGCGCGTGCCATAATCAGGAATCAGAAGCCTTGAATTTCTACGCCCGAGTTGTGCGAACAACGACGTGAATAACCACTACGACGAAAAGCTCACTTTAAAACATGGACTTGACCAGGTATAAAGATGTTTTAGTGGCTCCTTTGCTTTAAAATGTTACATTTTAGCCATCAGTGTACAGATTTACCACTGGTATTTGCGTATCTAGTCAACAACTCTTCGAAATCTAAGGCGACTCACATTGCTGTTGTGTTTTTTTTACAGATTTTTAGCGTCTTTCGTTCTCGTCGCCCTGACCTCGTGGTCTTTTTCAGGTACGTTTTTCACTCTGCTAAATCAACCTTTACAGTGCCAACCTATTCGTTCAAAAGTGCATTTATACTCAAAGCAAAACTGTGGAATTTGTATTGTAGCTATGTTGTTTAATATAGTTAATAGTTTATAGTACATTGCTTTATTTGCCACCAGTAATTGCCTTTAGTCCGGAACGGAAGTGATCCAAAAGGAAACGTCTCAATACGTAAATTTTTTTAGTATTTCCTCTTACTATTGTGTGTAAACCAATGGAATGTTACTCATAATCCTTCAAACGCATCATCATTTACTGTTTTTTCAATATTAGAAGCTTTACGCGTTTAACAAAGAATTAGAAATGTTTCTTATTTGCAAGCTGGGTCCATGGAACATACTTGGAAGAAAGTTGTCAGTCTTGTCATGGAATGCTTAGAAATGACAAGCACGCGTTACTCAAACCTATATAATACGAAGAATTGATAGTTAGAAAACTTTTAGCTTGTCTTATCTGCTCATTATTTGGGAGCAAAGTATTTATTGAAGCACCGTGGTCTTGCAGCAAGAAGTTGTAAGACGTCCGCTGTCTGGAACTAAACTGTGAATACACGCACACTTTTCAAATGTTCCTAATCATAATACGACTGGTTGTTCGTTCCTCTCTTCACCTTATCTCTCATCTAAGTATAAATGTTTTTTTTTGTAGGAGTCATATTTTTAATGCATTTCGTTATCAGATCAATATAAGCAGTTGTTTATGGCTTTCAACGAATTTAGCGCGAAGGGAAAGCGTTTATTTTTGTCACAAATGAATGGACTCTGGGGTTGTATTACAGATCACTTATGTAGAGGCTGGGCTGTCTAGACAATCCTTATGAGACGAATCAGAAATCTTCCTTGATTCTGTCAACCTTTTAAGCACAATTCCACAGTATTATAGACACAGAGTCATGAACATTCATTTTCCCTAGTGAAAACTGATAGAGAAGTTTCCCACGGGAAATGAATAACACCCTGATTCAGCTGGTATAAGTAGATGGTTTCCGCTGCGCCATAGTCGCTGTTTCAAGACTCTCCAAGCTTTAAGTTATCTAGCTAAGATTAGCACTAAATGCCCTCAGCTCTTTGAACGAGAGTCGAATTTCCTAGTTCGTGTACTGGGGAGTTTAGAGAGAGGAGCATCCTTTGTTTTCGAGCAAACAATCTGTGTTTTGGCTGTACACAAACTATGATATGTGTCAACAAAAATCTAATTACTATAACGAGTAGAATGACACCAGTACTCAAACTGAGCGTTTTAGACAATTTCGATACGTTTTCCAGCTGTGATGGTGACCTCTTAGTCGAGGGTGATTGATTGATATTAGAACTAACTGGAAAGGATAGCTTTGCAACTTGCGTTATCTTGGAAAATGCATCAAAGAATACTTCTCTGTAGATTATAGTTTTCACACAGCCAACCTTAGTGGCGCGAATAAAAATTCACACAGCTGGCAGATTTAATTACTTTGCATTAAGTGCCCCGATTCACAATTTGCAATTGACTTAGCTAGCTATTGTTTTCAGAAACTTCTTCCAATGAACTTCTTATCTCTATGTTTCGATTGGCGCTCATCCAAAAATGAATACACAAAATTGTTTTGGAAAATCTAGAAATCAATGTCTACTACTTAGGTCAAAGGTAAACTTGCGGAAGTCGACTATATTGCTACAAGTATGGGAGCTTTGCTGTTGAAAATTATCTAGAATTGGTCTGTTGGCTTGCTCAGACTCGGTTATCTTACCCTACATGCAAAGAACCAATTGACCAGATAATAATTCAGAGCATGTAACCATACCTCCAACTAGGCTGAAGTGAATAGACTTCTTTACCTTGGGCGTAATGTTTTTCCATTCCAGACCACGTGTCTTTCTAGACCACGTGACATTCCAGGCCACGTGGCATTCCAGACCACATAACATTCTAGACCACGTGACATTCCAGACCACGTGACATTCCAGACCACGTGTCATATTTCCTCAATCAGTTGCTGGTAAAGAAAGGCGTAATACACAAAAGTATTTGCCCACGTGGGTATGTCACGTGGGTATGGTCACGTGCTCTGACTATTGTTATTACGTCATTATTACGTCATTTTAGTTCTCTATATTTGTCTAACGACTTAAAGTCCACCCGCATGCGTTCATTGAATGCATGATAACAACCGAAACAACAGACCACGGGACATACCCTTCACTATTATTTCTTTGTTAACAAGCTTATGAGGATACATTTACTGATATATCTTATTGAAATGATACTCAAACCAGTGACACGATTAAATGGTCTTAACTGAATTAAACTCAAAGCTCAAAAGATTTCTCGGGGCAATAATTAGAAAATCCTCAATTTTTTAAAAGCTTCTAAATCTTCTATCATATTATTAGCTTTAGCTTAACTCACCTTGACTTTACTCTATTTTTACGCTAGGTCAGTGAACACTTATATCATATTCAGGAGCGTTCGTCTTAATAGGTCAAGCGTCCGCATAACTGTTTTTGAGTGCCAACACACGACACGTGGCACGTTGCATTTAATTCTAGCATATCCTTTTCCTCGCAAATACTGCTACGTTTAGAATATTCTGGAGCAGTCTCGCTCAATCCTTTGATATCTTGCTATGAGTTAGTACAAGATCAACTCAATCCATGCCATAGAGATGCATATATGACAACAACGAAAAATAACACACACAAAAAAAACAAATATCGCAACGACAAAAACCTGTGAAACACCGACATATAAATATGACAACGACGACAAAAAAGAAAGCCGGCAATACCGACAATGACTTGACAATGCTGACAAAAAAACTAACAAACCTGATTTACACACACATTATCTCAGTCTATATTCAATAATAGTAATGATGATGATGATGATGATGATAAGTCTCTTCTGTGTCTTCCTGTAAGTCTGAGAAACTCAATACTTTCTTCCTTAAAAGCTAGATTAAAACGATGATATGGCTTTAATCGAGCGACTTGTAGGTGTAACTTAGTAACAGCATTAACACAAGCGTGCATTACCACAAGAAACATGCGCAGACTTGGTACAGAGCTACTCAAAACTACTTAATTCTAAATTCCAATTCGTCTGTGAGTTAGTCGTGCTCTGACTTAGATCAGCCCAGAGGCTGCTTCAGGGTTCAATAAAATTTGACTAGAGTTGAATGAAGGTTTAAGGTGTGCGCGAATCGTGAAGCAGGCCTCAATGAAAAGCGAGAGACAATTACAACTCTTGTTTTAGGATTCACGGCTAGAAGCTTTGAGAAACTTTACTAGCTTGTGGCCTTGGTGTCACGTTTCATGCCTCAGGCAAGGAAACACTCCTAGTTGTGCGTAATGCAATAATTCTTTTTATCGTATTGAATACGGTTGTAAAGGACGACGAATGTTCCTATTTGAGGACATTTACAAAGTTGGCTGACCCTCACGACATGCACGTAAGCAGCGGCTTAGCACTTGCTGTTTAATCCTTCAAATTTAGCGTTTTGTGTTTTGTGGAGAGAGGAAAGTCAGAGAACCTAGAGAAAAACCCAAAGAAGCAAAGGAAAAACCTATTAAACTCTTCTCACATGTGAAAGGCGACTGTATTAACCACTATTCAACACTTGTTTCGTCATTCAATTTTAAGAACTTGATAATTTCCTCTTATTCACGACTCTTAAAAATACAAGGAATCGTTTTCTATCCAAGGGTTTCTCTTGAGAAAACTCTCCCTTTTTTCTACAGAGGCTCTTTGTGGTGGAAATCTCACTGGATACTTCGGGGTCATCAAGACTCCGAACTACCCAGACACGTACCCGAACTTTGCTCATTGTGTCTGGAACATCAAGGTCCAGAAAGGGTTTAAAATACGCATTCAATTTACGGAGTTTTCCATTGAGCCTTTCTTTAAATGTGAGTACGATTGGGTGCTTCTGCGTTCTAATAATAGTTCAACTCCAAAATATTGTGGCAAGAAAGAAAGGCATAACCCATACAGACCAAGGATATTGACATCACCGACAAACGAGGCGAAGCTTATTTTTCACTCTGATTACTCGAACGAAGAGAAGTATATTGGATTTGTTGCTCATTATGTTGCAGTAGGTGAGTATGTGCACAGTTGGAAGTGAAAGCTTTGCAAGAATTGCGTATTTTTTTTTTCTTTTTCTTTTTCCTTTTTCTTCCTTTTTCTTCCATTTTTTTTTCTTTTCTTTCTCGCTTTCGCTTTTTCTTTTCTCTCTCTCTCTCTTTTTGCCTTTCTTTTTTCTATGGTTTTATTCATCTGTCTCTCTCTGTTTATTTCTAAGAATATCAAATTTAGCCATGCATTTGCCTTGTTAATATTTCCAGAGCCTTCGTTTCTTCTGACCTGCGGCAAAGAACGAGGGTTCTGGCATAATCCATTTTTTGGCGCATGCACAATTTTCCGGACGTAAAATATAATCAATGAAAATCATAAAACAGAGTTATGTGTTTACTCTTTTTTAATTTCTTTTTGGAAAGTCTTTGAACGCATGCGCTCTTAATACAGAAGTCCAAAAAATCTTGGTCTCAAAAAATTATGCGAGAGCCCTCTCGTTCTTCGCCGGAAGAACGCAGGCTCTGGGTCTGTCATCCATGCTTAGGTAATGCTTCGTTAGTATTCCCTCTTCCAACATATCTCATAGGTATTCTCAAGCTCAGCTGTGCATGCTCTGTTCAATATCAAAGTCATCCATGCCTAGCTAGGCAATGCATTTTTAGTATTCCCTCTTCCAACATATCTTATAGCTATTCTACTGTTCTAATCTTGGTTCAGATACCGACGAATGTAGCAAGAAGAAAGGCCAATGTGATCATTACTGTCATAACTATCTTGGCGGCCATTACTGTTCTTGTAAAGCGGGCTACGAGTTATTGAAAGATAGGAAATCATGCAACAGTAAGTTGAAACACTGTTACCTCAAATTATATGCCGCGTTAGCTGCAAATAGAGTCAATAAACATCGCCCTATGTTTTTTTCGTCCATCGTTTTTGTGGTTAACAAAACCATTCTCTCTGGGCTTCCTGCCTACGAGTCAAGGAAGACTGTAATATTCGCTTTCTGTCCCTATCGAGCAACTTAGTGTGGGGACACGTAGCCCACTAGTGATGAACCTAACATGGCCCAGAGAGTAAGAGAGAAAGTCTAAGGCATTTTCCTCAAAAGGTATATATCTTTCATTTGTATTTTTCTCTTATTTCAACTTCTCTTGGTTCGTTCCCAGTTGTGAGTTAGTATAGCCACAGCTAGCCAACTGCCGAGAAAAAGCATTTTTAACAGAGATACTGCTGATCTTATGATTTACACAAAGGTGTTTTCTGTTTTAGTTGTCTGCAAAAACCAACAGTTGACAGCAAGACGTGGTACAATAATGACACCGGAATTCCCTGGATTATATCCCAAAAATTCCAACTGTGACTGGACGATTTCTGTGGAAAAGGGTTACCAGATTACACTGTATTTCAAACAGGTATGACATGCAATTCTCAATTCAAACACCCTATTTGTTTTTGAATCTATATTTTTTCAAATGAAATGTTCGGTTTTATGATGAGATAAGAAATGCCAATGAATTTTTATTGAATTAATTGTAGCCACTTTTTTGTTTGAGTATAGTTCAATATCGAAGCCCACCCCGAGGTACCCTGTCCGTACGACTACCTCAAAGTGTCAGCGGGTATTGGTCGGCGATATGGCCCACTATGTGGCAAGACACTACCAAAGAATATCACTTCCTCTGGCAACTACATGCACTTACAGTTCGTGTCTGATGCTACGGGCGCTTATAAGGGATTCAAGGCTTGTTATGAAACACATGGTGAGTAAGAGATGTAAAGTTTGTCTGATTATGAGCCAGTGGACAAATGTGGTCAGCGATCAACCTTATAATTTTCCTTTCTATGAGCCAGTGGACAAATGTGGTCAGCGATCAACTTCATATTTTTTGCTTGCCATGAGCCAGTGGACAAATGTGGTCAGCGATCAACTTTATATGTTCTTGTTTGCAATGAGCTTGTGGGCAAATGTGGTCAGCGACTAATTTTTTTCCTTGCTTGAAATCCTTTACATCAATGAAGAACAAGTTGAACATGGATTTGCGGCTCGTCACTCTTTAAGGGCTGGCGGCATAGCGAAACTGACCATAACCAATTCTATTGGCTAATTTTTTTGCTGTTAATTTCTTCCATAATAGGAATCATTTGTCCCAAGCAGAGCGCACCAGATAATGGCAAAATGCAAGGCAACAGCTTCTCCTTCAAGGATACCTTACAATTTGAATGCCTACCTGGGTATCAGTTATTTGGCTCGTATATAAGGGAATGTCTGAACTCTGGACGCTGGAGTGGTGTCACGCCATCATGCAGACGTAAGCACAAGAAAAAAATGGGAATTGAATTATTTCTCATGTAAAACGATTGTATTGTTTGTGCCATGTAACATGGCTGCCGTCACGTGGTGGTGCAAAACCTCTATAGGATGTCACTCGATATTCATGCAAATGGCTTACTTATAAAGAACGTCTGCACATGTTATCTGCGCACTATTCCTGCGCACTCTCTCTCTCTCTCTCTCTCTCTCTGCACATGCTCTTAGTGTTTATACAAATTAGTTCAAATGAGCACCCATTTTTACGTTTCTTTTAGGTCGTACTTGTGGTCACCCAGGGATGCCCCAACATGGTTCTATGATATCCCAGGGATTTCGTTACCTGGATAACGTTACTTACTCGTGTAATCAATTCTTTGAACTCCATGGTGACAGCGGTAGGACGTGTCAGGCTGATGGCACTTGGACCGGCTCCATCCCGAAATGCATTGCAAGTAAGTCACGTGCTACACCAACACACTTCCTCTATGGGAGGACATCATGGTTCGATAATGTAAAACAATATTCAAAAGCAAAAGTTTAAGTTGTATCCATATTCATGTGCCTTCTCATATGCATCTGTTAAACAATGGAATGATACTCTAGGGAATGACACATGGTCTGAAATGGAAAATAACTTTACTCCTAAATTATATGAAAAGATATATTTATTATTACTACTAACGAGTGCTTGAATCTTCATGATCAGCCTGTGGTGAAACGCGCTTCAACAATACTCGCAGACAACAGTGCCGACAGAGGATTGTCGGTGGCCAGAATACAGTCAAAGGGGCCTACCCATGGCATGTGTTGATAAAGAAAGATGGTGATGTTGCTTGTGGTGGATCGCTGCTCAATGAAATTTGGATCCTCACAGGTAAAGAGTAATAGGGAAAGTTTTCATCTGTACTAGGGTCCTTTATGGTCATCTATTGAATCCTAATTTAGATCTGTTTGCCCTACTCATCCATCCTTCCATCAATGTATTCATGCATCCATCCATCCATCCATCCATCCATCCATGCATCCATGCATGCATCCC